GGGGAATGGTTTTCCGCTGGCCCAAGACGGAGGGGGCGCGTGGGGTCCGCACCTGCACCCACCCTCTGCAAAGCCGAGACTCCGGAGATCCAGCCTGGCTGAGGGTCCGCGGTGCTGGCAGCCATGCCCGCGGCACGAACGGGACCTCCGGGGCGATCGCACCGATTGAGCGAGAGAGGTTTTGGGAGCAGGGGAGGTGGCTGCTCAGGCTGGCTGGGAGTCGGTCTGGAGGACGGAGGTCTGGGTCGCGACTTCGGAGCTCCTTAGAGGCCTGAAAAGATCTCTTCCTTGCTTGGGCGGGGGTTCCCATGGCAGCGGAGGGCATCGTGTTTGCGTGCGGGCGCCCTTGAGTGCCTGGGGACGGCTGCCTTGGGTGCTACCCACGGGAGATGGCAGTGCCCTCTGAGCCAGGTGACTAGGGGGACAGGAAGTCCAGGGTCTGGTTAATGATTTGCCTTGTTCCTGGAGTGGAGGCGGGACAGGAGGAGGTTGGTGAAGTTGAGGAAGCCTCAAAGAGCTCTCCAGGGCCAGACTAGTTCCTTGGCCACTCCAGGAATGTGTCCTGTGGGTGGGGCTGGGCGCACAGGGCAGGGCTGGCGGTGGGGGGCCGCAGGCAAGAGGAGGGCAGGGTTGTGGTGGGGCCAGGCAGGGCCTGACCCTGTGGCCTGTACCTTCCCCACAGGACAGGGATGCTCTTGGCGCTGGCAGCCATGGAGCTGAAGGTATGGGTGGATGGCATCCAGCGGGTGGTCTGTGGGGTCTCAGAGCAGACCACCTGCCAGGAAGTGGTCATCGCACTAGCCCAAGCAATAGGTAAGTCTCCTGGGGGACAGAGGTAGAGCTGGGGGTGGGGTTGGCTGCTGATCCTTTCTGTCCTCCCCCAAATCCTCAAGCTAGGTGGACAAGGTGCCACATAGACTGACCCCTTTCCCCTCTCTCCCAGGCCAGACAGGCCGCTTTGTGCTCGTGCAGCGTCTTAGAGAGAAGGAACGGCAGCTGCTACCTCAGGAGTGTCCCGTGGGTGCCCAGGCCACCTGTGGACAGTTTGCCAGTGATGTCCAGTATGTCCTGAGGCGGACAGGACCCAGCTTAGCTGGGAGGCCCTCTTCAGACAGCTGCCCACCCCCAGAACGGTGTCCAGTCCGTGCCAGCCTCCCCTCAAAGCCACGGGCAGCAACAGGTCGTGAGCCCCACAAAGCACTGACATTCAGCCTGGGCTGCCCTGGGCTGGCCCCAAGTCCCTTGCCCTCTGAGCCTCTGGCCCTTGTAGCACCCACACCAAGCTGCCACACAGCCTTGCAGGGCCTGGAGCTTAGGGTGCAGAGGAATGCTGAGTTGCTGGGTCAGGAGGCCTTCTGGGAACAGGAGCTGCGACGGGAGCAAGCCCGGGAACAAGAGGGGCAGGCACGCCTGCAGGCACTGAGTGCAGCCACCGCGGAACACGCTGCCCGGCTGCAAGCCCTGGATGCCCAGGCCCATGCGCTGGAGGCTGAGCTCTGGCTGGCTGCAGAGGCCCCCGGACCCCCTTCACCCACAGCATCTGCTGCTGAGCGCCTGCGCCAGGACCTAGCCATGCAGGAGAAGCAGAGCGCAGAGGTGCAGGGCAGCCTGGCACTGGTGAGCCGGGCCCTGGAGGCCGCAGAGCGTGCCCTGCAGGTAAGCCCAGAGGCTGACCTCTGCCCCTCTCCACCCTGGGGCAGATTTGGGGGTGATCATGGGGCAGACTCGGAGGAGCACTCTTGAGGTACAAGAACAGGGGAGGCCCAAGGCTGTACTGTGTGCCCAGGCCCAGGCTCAGGAGCTGGAGGAGCTGAACCGGGAACTCCGTCAGTGTAACCTGCAGCAGTTCATCCAGCAGACAGGGGCTGCACTACCGCCACCCCCACGGCCAGACAGGACTCCCCTTGACACGCAGGTCAGAGCGTTGTGGAGGGAGGCTGAGATGGTGGGGGAACAGTCCAGATGCGAGCTGATCTGCTGTCTCCACAGGACCTCTTGCCTTCAGCCAGAGAGGAGCCCCTCCCAGGAGCCCCACGGAGTCCTATCCTAGTATCCAGCATGAGCCCTGAAGGTATGTCTCTGTCCACCCCCTCAGTGCGACAGGACCTCCTCTGGCCTCAGTCTTCTCAGCCTGTGTCCTCCCCACAGTTGCTCCCATGAGGCAGAATTCCTGGAGGTAGCAGCTCCTGCCCCAGTGTGGTGTCCACTGGCAGTACACCCCCAGGCTCTGATCACAAACCAGCGAGGGCGAGAGAGGAGCTGACGTGGACGACAGCAGAGTTGGTCTCAAACGATTCCTTCCTCCATGCAGTGGGGAGAAACCCTGGTACTCTGGGTTTCTGCTCAAAGGGTCTGGAGGGTGCTGGGAAGGGTTTGCCCTCGTCCTTGCCAAGTTGCCAAGCCTTCTTGAAGAAGCATGGGACACGGCCGGATTAGAATTTACCAGACCCCAAAGGCCACAACTCCTCGTTGGGGGCAGATGTGTAGAAAAGGTGTTCAACCTATGGGTACGTGCTTGCCTGTGGGAAGAGCCCTTCAGCCCTTCACCCTGTGTGTGTGTGTGTGTGTGTGTGTGTGTGTGTATAGGGCAAGAATGTATGTGCCATCTCCCCTACTCCAACACTAAAACCTCAATAAATTGTCCAAAGTGGCTTGCGTGTGTCATGAGGCTCCAGTGGGCAGAACTTACAACTTCACACCAAGACCACTGGGGAGTACCCAGAGCCACCCCTGCCAGCCACAGGGGGTGCTCCTGAGAAGGGGAAACCTCAAAACTAATGCCTAGCAGGATACAAGCTGAGGTTCCTGGGGCCCTCATTCCAGCTGCTCTGCCCCACCTACCCCCAGCTCTTCCTGGGCTCCTGCGGGGACACCTGCTTACTCAGCCCTGGCCTGGCCTAGTCCTTCTTCCTGTTTGCACTTTTCTCCCACCTGGCTCCCCCTCATCAGGCCTGTGCCCCACCAGCAGCAGCAGGAACTGAGGATGAGCTAGACTTGCCCTTCAGGTTTACTGAGCTCGTGGGGGCAGGTTCTTGCTGGGCCTAGGGAATGTCACCCACAGGACCTCTGCGGGCCCTAGAGAGGGTGTGGTGTAGACACCGTGTGGGCCAGAGCTGCCTCCTCCTTCCTGGGTGGGTGTGAAGTCTCTGCTGTGGGCCTTGCAGGCTTGAAATGAAATGGAGGCAGGGAAGTGGCCATGGCCTCTGCCCTTGGGCCGCTGTGGCTTCTCGAGTCCCGGCCCTCAGGGTGGGCTGCATACCCTCAGTTCTAAGATTGGAGATCTGGGGCCCGATGGCAGGGTGATGGCTAAGGGAGCTGGATCCCACATGGCCGACTGTGTAGTTCAAGTCTTGGAACCAGCAGCTTGAAGAGAACACCAAGTCCCTGTGCATGTGTGCCTGACATCCTGGGAGGAGGGTGGAGAAGGGACTGCACGGCTCTCCTCTCAGGGTGCTTTCTCACGGTCTCTCTGTCTCTGTGGCAAGTGGACGTGCCACAGACATAAATAAAAGGGGAAAAGGAAGATTGGAGATCTCTGTGATCGGTGGACCTGGGGGCTCTGAACAGCTGTGGGTGACACTAGGGAGCTGTGTTGGGTTTGAGCTATGTGGGCAAGCTCGAGGTGAGCTCAGCTTCCTCCTGGGGTGGCCTTGAGCCAGTCTGGCACTTGCCACTCCCTCTAAGGTAGACCATAGGGGACATGAGCATGAACAAGGAAGCAGCCCATGGGGACCAAGGGGCACTCCTCAGGGGCCAGCGCGGTGAGTGATTAGGGCTGGGTATTCCTGCCAAGGGCAGCTGGAAGGGGCTCCCGATCCTGGGGTTCGCAGGTCAGAAATCCCAGCCCAGCCTCGTTCTTGTTTGCACTCCCACCTGCGCCTGCTGCCTAGCTCACAACCACCTGTCCCTGGGAGGCCCTTGGGGCCTGGACCTGCCTGATCTGTGGCCCCAGACAGGCCTGGAGTACAAAGGCCTATCAGCCTGTGCCCTGGGGGTAAAAAGGATGGGGTCTGCAGGGGCTGCTCCCCCCACTCTCAGCCCCCACCCACATTCAGGGCTTAGACCACTTCTGGGCACCAGCTTTAAGCCCCACTGTGGTTCATCTTCCAAGCTAAGTACACAGGCCAGCAGGAGTCGATGCCAGGGGCCTTCTAGAGCATCCCACACGGGATGGGGGTTGGGGGTTGGGAGCGCTGGCTGGCAGGGCCAGACCCTCCTCTGGGTAGCCAGCTTCCCATAAGTGTTCCCTAGCCCCAAAGGGAAGCAGGCACAGCTGGCAGGGTATACCACACTCTCCCTGTCTTTTTAAGGAGCACCTGTTCTTTCTGAAGCCACACCCAGGTCCCTGCTGGACTGCTGGTGCAGGCTCTGGAGAAGGTGACGAGCCTCTTCTCCCCCAGGGAGGGGTCCTCAGTGGACACACAATCCCGAACCGTTGAAAAATTGCCAGAGTGCTTCAGATAACTGAGCAAGCCTTGGAAGTGCTGAAAATTTTACTTTTGAGTTTTAAACTGTACTTTGAAAACACTGGCGTGGGCTGTGCAGAAAAAGAACTGAGGTCTTTGCTGCTGTCCAGTCCTTGGCAGGGCGGGCAGGGCAGGGCCAAGCCAGTACACCTCCCCAGGGGATGCTGAGGCAGGACCCCATAGGGTCGCTGTCATCCTCCCCGGCCCGGGTGGGTCCAGCCAGAGGAAGGGCCATGTTATGCTTTGGGCTGCTGCAGGGGCCCTTACTGGTCTCAGAGCTACTCACCCCCATCACTGAAAGTGTTCTCTAAGCCCAACCAAGAGCACCCCAGTTCACTGCAGGCCACAGGAAGTTGCTGGCCGGAAGTAAGTCAGCTCTGCAGGCTCTGGACCCCGCACCAATACATAGACCCCGTGTGGGATGCTCTAGAAGGCCCCTAGAGGGGCATATCCCTGGCCCCACAAATAAGCCCATGGCAGTCCTGGCTTTCTCTGAAGCCTCACTGAGGTGGAAGGAGCACACAAAAGAGCCATATCTGTCATCATCTGCCTATAGGAAGTCTCCAGAGATGGCCCTCAGGAGGCTCATCCCATAGGTCCTTGTCCGGTTGGCGGAAGGTCTGACCACGGCACTCATGCTTGCCAAGGGCTGCCCTTAGCTTGGTGACTTTCAGAGAGTTGTCCCAGGAACTCTGCACAGCCTGGCACCCTGGAACACAGAAGGAAAAGAAAGTTCCCTCCAAGAGGGCGGCTGGTCCAACCTCAGTTCAAGAAAGTGAAGGGCAAGGAAGACCAAGCAAGTCTCCCTTTCTGGCCATGCACCCACACCCACGTCTGACTGGCACTGACTGGCAGACCCCCGTC